TACGCTGAGGTTAATAATTTATATTCCTTTTCTAACGAGTGTTCAGTTTATATAATTTCAATAATAGAGAATTATTGCAAGAAACAAACCACTTCGAAATTTGAGTAAGCTTTTTTTCCAAATAGTAGATTAATTACAGATTACATCATTTCATAATTTTAAATTTTGTTATTGTTATACAGTTTGGCACATAGCTACATACTGGATCTTACATCCAAGTCATAAATAGAAAAAGAATTTGTTCCAGAATTATGGGCAGAACTTATAGTTGACCGACCTGCCATGGCCAATCCCGAATATCATAGAGAGATTGAATCTATTTGTGATCATCTATTTGGTCTTCTTTATAAAAAAGTAAGGTATATTTAGAAATTCGAGCATTTTGCTACAAATATTTATGTGTTTGTGATATTTATAGAAACAACTGAAACTTCATGAATCTCGTGATAAATGGGAGAATTTAAGAAATTTAAAGGTGCCAGAATATAATGATGATCTTTCTTATGAAAAGGAAGATTGGAAAAAAATTTTGTATTGGGCAAAACGTGCTGTTGGATCATTGTAAGGCTTTTTTTATAGATTTATATTATTTTGAAACTATTATTTTAACTATAATTTTTTAGTCTTGATGCTTTCGAATCTGAGTATAATCCTATACAACAAAATGATTGCGGAGAAAGGGAATGGTTAGGAGGCTACGTAATTCCTATATTTCAAAGAGCTTTGAAATTGAACACATCCTGCTGTGTTCCTTGGCAAGTTTGCATTGATTTATTTTTCCCATTTTTAGATTCAAGTATCTAAGTTTTTATAAATAATTTTAGGGAGGAAGGTTACTGTAATTGCAACTACTCGAAGAAGAAATCAAGACAGAAATGCGTTAGAATATCAACTTGAGCGTAACCACTTAGCAGATTTATTGTGTAAAGTTAACCAACAAGAAGTTGTCTGTGGGCTTAGTTGTGGTGGTCCTCATAAATATGATATTACAAAATGGAGTAGTGATCAGTACTAACTTCCGAGGATGCTTAAAGACATGTTAGATGATATGTTAAAAAAATTTCGAAGTAGAAATAGATGCTCATCAAATATTTATACTATTGAAATTCAGGTGAGACTGTTCTTGTTAATGACTAAATAATACCACGTTGAATATTCAATATTAAATTTTGCTTT